ACACACACACACACACACACACACACACACACACACACACACACACAGTTTCATTGTCATGCAGGAACCCTCACAGACAATCAGACAGGTGCGACAGCGGCCCGAACACAGAGGTCAACACACACACACACATCATCACACTCAGTATACGACGACTCAAACATGACTCTTTTAATGCCGTCTGTTGTGTCTTGTTCATACTTCGAGATTACTCACATTCAATTAAAACAACGAGTGAAGCACCGGCTACACACCGCAGGCTTCAAATGAATTCATCATCAGAGTCAAGTACAGGAATTGACCAGAGGGTTTGCATTTCAGTCTGCTGCTTTCGGTGCGAGCAACACCGAGCAAGTTTAAATTTCAACCCGACAACAATAGCTAGAGTAAACTGTTTGTGTTGTGCTACAAGTCACACTGGTCTCAGTAATGAGCATCACAATGTTATGATCTTAATTAGTAAGTTATGACAGGTTGTTCGAGGAAAACAAACAGGAGTAAATGGGTTTGGAGCTACTACACTTTCAGCCAAGAAGCCACATTTGACACATTGTGTTGTCTCACACCCTCATTAAAAATATGCTGGTACTCTCGTCACTCAAGAAACCAATAATGAGCAAATATAGTCTCTTACTGTACTTTGGGACCGAAGCTAATTAAAACACACCACAACTCTTGTCGCGCAGGGTCCAAACAGCTAAAATCAGCCGCTTGTCCCAGGACTCAAGCTCATTAAAAACCCACTTGTGTCGTGAGGGGAGCCACACAGAGTAACATGTTGTCTGTCAAACCCGGAATATCCAGGCTCGTTAAAACAAACTATTCTTGTAATGTTAGTACATCTGCCAGAATAAGACCTGCAAACCTGTTGTTGAGACCCTGTTTAGGAGACACAGTTTTAAAGGTGTAACATGTGCGATGTGGAGAAACAGAGGAGGGACGGATGAATCCAGGTTGATCTGGATGCCTGCACAGGCTCCCCTTCTACCCCTCTGCATGGAAGCAAATACACTCACAGTCATTCACCTTTGGCTGCATAGCCCTGTCAGCTAAATGCCAACCAGATAAATTGCAAGGACTAAGAGCTAAATGGTATATTAATATTCTGACAAATCGAGCAGAAAGTCAAGAGAGTATTATGCTGAGCTCTGCCATCGGTGATGACTTCATTTCTGTCTTACCTTGCTTCAGTTTGCTCTCAGTTCAGGTTCATATGAACGTGGGTGGTTTTTTTAAACATAAAAAATACCCCTGGCAGCTATTTATATTATCAAATAAACTTCAGATTATTCTTACATTGGGATGTGGGAGGCTGTAAACAGGATGTAAGATTTTGGGACCTTTACATTTATAAGCTATCTCACAAAATGAGCATTATGCTAAGATGCTAATAAGGCTATTGTAACATACCATGTTCACAATCTTAGTTTAGCAAGAACACTAACATATACTAATCAGCTATAAACATGTACACATATTTTGTAGGTATTTGCAGGTAGATATTAAAGTACTGGACAAAGTAAAAATGATGACCTATTGATGGTGCTGAAAGAAACGTTACAGGTTTGCAAAATGAATCAGAATGCATCCTGACTGGGAAATGAATGTCTGTACCAGATGTAATGGCAATCCATTGTAGTAGTTGTAGCTGTTGAGACATTAAGTGTTGTAAGTGTGGCCCTAGCAAACATTCGAATGGTATACGGAATGGAATAAAAACATAAAAATGCGGTAGTAAATGATATGATAAGAGGTAAATCTGAATATACTACTTAACACCCTTTGAAATATTGTGTTGTGGCTGACCAAACAAGGCACGACTCATCTTCAGTCAGCAAAGGATCAATTATGAATCCCGAAAATCTTGTGCCACACAGCAGCTCACTGAGATGTGGCTCACTACCCAAAATAAGTCTGAAGTCAGAAAGCCATGTGCACAATCCTGATATTAAATCCCCCCTCAGCAAACTTGATTCGACTCTCAAATTATATAACGGAGAGAAAAGATGAAGACAAAGACTGACGCATTGACTGAAAAAGAGATGGATAAAGAGACAGAGAATGGGAACTGCCTTTACCTTCTGTGTCTTGGCCGAGACAGGTTGATAGCAGCAGCAGATAAAGGACTCCTGTTCCGATTATGCTCGGGCATTTGACCCGGCCCCATGACAATGGCCCCATTAAGTGCGTTCTAACCATCTTCACCACCATGCTTCACCAAGCATCCAGCTGCAGAGAAAGGAGGAGAGCACAGAAACACAGGTCAGTCACATTCACTCACTTTCTTTTTCAATTCAATTCAATTTATTTTGTATTGCCCAAAATCACAAATCTGCCTCAGAGGGCTTTACAATCTGTACACATACTACATCCTCTGTCCCGGGACCCTCACATCGGTACAGGAACAACTCCCCCAAAAAACCCTTTAACAGGGAGAAAAAAAGGAAGAAACCTTAGGGAGAGCAACAGACGAGGGATCGCTCTCCCAGGATGGACAGAAGTACAATAGATGTCATGTGTACAGAATGAACAACATAACAGAGTTACTTTTCAGGCTATGCCACCTGTGCTCTCAGTGAACATTGGTGTGGAAGCGTACATTAATGTGCTCAAAAGATGACATCTCCCACTGAAAGAAACGGCAGGAATAATACAGAGTTTGATGTAGCAGAAGTGTATGATCCCCACCCATCCTACAAAAACTCTGAATGAAAATATGCTGTCTATATTGACGGTGCACTCCACTACATCCCTAAGGTGAGATGCCCTCACAATCGACAGTTCCGTGTTCGGTTTGCGTCTGCACTTCACTTCACCGACGTGGAAGCTTTGATCAATCTTTGTGCTTGAGCATCAAAGTAAGTGATGGTTTCACTGGGACTGCCACCACAATGGGAAATATAGAAACCTGTGGATGATGATAGAGATGGAAATATTTTGTGCAATGTAAAATGCCCGTGGTGGCAACAACAACATCTCAGGTCTTGCAGCGGAAGATTTGACACATTTGATAAATTAGACGTTCTAAAGGATGCAATACATAAGAGAGAGTGGGAAATACATAAAGCTGATATGTGTGTGTTGTATTAAAATGCACGTCTCCATAACATAAATCATTATATTTTAGGGTGAAGACTAAGGTTAAGGTTAGGGGTTAGGATTAGTCTGGTAGCCGTTAAGGTTAGGCGAAGTTTCCAGGAAATGAATGTAAGTTGATGTTATATCCTCTAAAGCCCACAAGTCATAACGCCACAACTTTGTGTGTGCATGGGTGCGTGTGTGTGTGTGTGCTTAGGTTGAGCGTAATTACATTTTATAGGGAGAGCATGTAACGCTGAAGGGAAAATAGGTTTCTTTGAAGTTCTCAGCCAAAGACACATTCGGGTACTGTCTGAGACTGTGTGTGTACGTGTCTATAATTCGGTCTTTGATTGCTTTGTGTAATGCAGCTCAAACCCATCTAGCATCAATACTGCTCACTTACTTACTCACACAAACATTTAAAGTGAGATGACCTGCAAGAGAAAACGTCTTTCAGCTTAAAGGATAGTGTTTGTCTAGGGGGGCATTTATGTGTGAGGCAGGTCATACTTCTCTCCATCCACAATCTTGCCAGCCAGCCTGGGATTGAATTGCACAAATTAGCTTATTTAGCCTCTATCTTACCAACCACCTAAATGGGCCACTGTGTGCACTGTGTATACACAATTAGTATAAAGTAGAACAGTGTACTGATGCAGCAGCATTATTATGAGCAACTGCCCGTTTGCTAAATCGTGTCCCTGAACAGCAATGGTCCATTCATAGTTTAGCAACCGTAACTAATCTTCACTAATAAGAACAATGCTCTATAAGTCAATAGACGGTGGTGTCTTTAATGTAAGAATTTATTTTAAACCAAAAAGAAATGAACAAAAAGTGTAAATTAGAGATTAAACAGTGTCTGCTCTATCATAAGCTACAGCTGTTAGCATGCCCAGCTAACTAGCTTACTACCTACAGTAGTCTAGTAAAGTTGTTTCTAAAGGCAGGGGGCCAAGATGTTAGTATGTCAGAATTTGGAGTGACAACAGCAGCTCTAGCTTTCTCTTTATTTGGTTTGGGGAAGTTTACACTCCAGTCAAACTCGTGTTGCGGTGCATTTACCAAACTCATAGCTTCTCAAATTATTTTCTCTTTTAAAAGACCAGCATAACAGTGCAGCACAAATTTAACTTCTATGTTAGCGTATGCTACCTATCAACAGCTGAGTAAATCCCCTAACAACATTTATTACTTCAGTCGATAAAACCCATTGGTCAGAAAATAGTTTACTTAATAGCCTGATTCATCTAATATTGCCTGGCTAAATTAGTTAAGATACAGTGCTATGGTATGTGAACGCATGATATGTTCAGTCTTCATGGTAGTAATACTGACAATATTATTTATTCTACAAAGAAAGATTATTCTGAATGGGACCTTATCTGAAATTAAACTCTGCGACTCTTATTCAGTAACAACATTAACTGCTCCCCGTCACGCAAAATCTGCCGCCTGTTTAATTAAAGCTGATTTCTGAAGTTCGGTGGCAGAGATCACTGTGACAGAGTCAGATTACTATCGCCCTCTGAATGGAGATGGAGTTAGCTGACGACAGAAATGTCGCTGCCCATCTTTCGGCACAGGCTGAAAACTCACCTCTTCAAGAAGTACTATCCTTCCACTTAGCACTTATTGTATTATATTAGCTCTTATTAGCATTTATTGTATTCGTATTAGTTTGTTTCTGCACTGTACTTATGCTCTGGTTTTTGCTCTTAGATGCTTGTGTAAACAAGGAGATGCACTTATGACTTCTGGTGACTCGTAGTCAATACACTTATTGTAAATCGCTTTGGATAAAAGTGTCTGCTAAATCACTGTAATGTAATAATGTAATTGTGATATTCTACCAAACCCCAGAGGTGGAATCCAGCAGCCACGGGGGCTTCAGGGCAGCTGTATTTAAGGGACACACTTTAGACTCACAATGCCACGGTGCTGCTCTTAACCGACCTTAATTGAGTTTAACAAATTAAATGCTGGTGCTTCAATCCATGCATAACGGTGTGCAGGTGGCCTGTGATCAAGCTGTAGCAGACCGTCAGTGAAAGCCCTACAGAGAGAACTGATAACGTCTCTGACATTGTAGAGTTATACTGTCTTAACAGAGAGGCAGATGGTATTTTTGCTCTGCACAGATTTTTATAGATCGCCAGGGATACTTAATGTTTGTAAATTCAAACGCTCTCTGAGTCCCTAATGCTAGCCCTGTTGGTGAATTTTCTAAATAATTACAGTAGTTTTTTTTTTTTTACAAGGCTAATCTCTGCATGGTACCCCCGGTAGTCATATTGTGATATTGGCAAGAAACTGTCTCATGAGACTGAGCTTGCATCAGGGGCACAAAAACAACCATGAGTCCCATTCTGTCACACTTTATGAAACTATATCATGTGGGTTGCAGTGTTGCGATGCCAGGAATATATATATTTTTTTATTTGTCAAAAGTTCTGGTTGAAAAACCTTGTTTAGTGTTTCAGCATGCTCTCTTGGTGAAATAATGCTTTTATTTGCTGCACAGACAAAACCCTGTCAACCATTTGTTTGACACCTAGATACCCAAACTGTTTTTTTTTTTCTCAACACCTGACTTGACAAAACAATGACAGCAAATCCAAAATAGACTGTTGGTTAGACCATTATAAATAGACCATTCTCAAATGAGCCCAGTAGCCTATTCTCACACAAAGCCAGATTGATTTTTGACAGTGATGAATAGGAAAACAGTTGCGGCCCTTCTTACAATTGAGATCAGACATTCAAATTTTACTTTTATTCTGAAGGTCACACGTTCTATTTTAGATCAATGCATTTTTATTACCAAATAACATTGGCAGCTCATAGTGAACAAAAAAATGATTGCCCCCAAATTCTAGCATCTCTTAAATATGGCTAGGTCTAGAGACATAAGATGCACTGATACAGGACTTTAGTTTCTTCTAAAGTCAACCTGTTGACTCGCTCTTAGTCTCACTCTGAACCTAATAGTAAGCATAACAAAGGCATGAAGGTGTTGGACTGGAAGCTTGTCTTAATGAATCAATATTGCACAGATTGGCGTTTGCTGCTGCTGCTTTCCTTCCTCTTTTTATATTTTCATGAACTACGAACGTAAACATTGTGACGATAGATAACCGGTTTCTTTATTAGATCTTCACCAACCACAGAGGGAGAGAGAGATAACGAGAAGCAGACAAGTTAGATTAGTATATCATTATAACAGAAGATCGATATTAAGATAGAGAAAATTGAGGGGTTGAAAAGGGCTGCAACTCATTATAAAGTAGTGTCCTGATAATGTTGATAAGGTGTCCCAAATATTGTGTGTATTCAGGTTTCTAAATTGAGTAGAGTATATTTTATGTTTATTGGCAGAACTGTAATACTTGCTTGTTTCACCCTCCCCAGTGGAATTTGCTGATTGCAACATCAACATTGAAACTTCCACAGAGGGCATTAAAAAGACAATGTTTGTACTATCTTGTATAATCTTCTTATTCCATTAAATTCATGACAACAGTTGTGCATGGTACTTACATTTAACTATAACCCTGTTTCGTGGAGCTTGGCCAAACCTGTACGTATTGTTAATTCTGGGGTATATTTTTGTGTTATCCATCTTGTTCCATTGTCTGTAACTCATTCGTTAAGCGTTTGCACTAAGTGCAATTTGCCCCAGAGGGCTTAGTGGGATGACAGGAATGTTTTTTTTTTGCTGCCTATCCTGACCAGGCTCTATTGTTGATAGGATTTTAATGTCAATGAGGCTCCCCTGGTGTAATACAGGTTAAAAGGTTCTCTACTAGTGTTTCAGTCCACCATATTTTAAGCAGTGGAATCTGTACAGTTGTTGGCAGCAGGCACTGAATCTTCTGAGGACATAAAAAGCACAGACTTTTTGTACCACCCTGTCATACTCGATATAGTTACGGGAAGCATTTTTGCATTATAATTGCATTTCACCGTAACCATTATCCACACCTGAATTATTAGTGCCAGTGCTACTAGGCCACCATATTGTTAACATGCATGCTTTAAGTGCAGTTAGTATAAAGTTTTCTTTCCTTTTTTTTTTATGAATTCTTTATTAAAGAGGTGATGTGCTGAATACATATACTGTATGTGTTGCATCACATAGAGCTAAA